CAGCGAATAACTAAATATAAAGCCGCCGTTCGAGGGAAATATTTTGATGACATTTATGCGTTGACGTCCAACTGGCGGCGGCAGCGGCAGCCCGAAGACACAGAGCTCTAATTAAATTTAATAGCTGCGCAGCGACATAAAGTTGTGCCACCAACGTGGTGTGGCACACACACACAGGGACGTCGTAAACACTTTTTGATTTGATTTCTGGAAAGGCTTCACTCATTTGACAGTTTTCGCCGGTGTTTGTCCGGGCGGATTGTTGATTGAATTGTCACCTCGATTTAATGACACCCATGGAAAGTATCTTTCACACAAGCCGCCGCCGTTTGGTTTGATGTCTCTTCCATTCATCCCAGAAAGTAGGGGAGGTAGAAATCATATGCCACTTGGCCAAAGGCGCCACCAACGCCGCTGACATACATAGAAACTATTGTAGACAGAAGAGGGGGGATTCATTGTGAGTGTGCCGCAGGGACTGTCAAAGGTGTCAGACGTTTTATTGCCTCTGCAGACGACCTGTTGAAAAGTTCATGGTCACGATGTGTGGTGAGTTCTTTACAGGCGGACTTTGATGATTGTCCTTAGATCTTAAGACATTTAATGGTAGTTCATGCATTTTGCACTGGTATTAGTCAATTAAAAGATGTCATAAAAAGGTTAAATAAAAAAGTATATTGGGTATCAAAAGTATTTATAGAAGTTGTTCAAGTTTGTGGCTACTAAATAAAGTTTTGATTTGCTTAAAAGTTGATTTGAATATTTGTACATTTCTGAAATGTTCTTAATGGTTAAAATATTGCCAACATTATAGCCATTCTTTAAAATTAAAAAGCTCATAAAAAACTCAATAAAAGAAAACTACTTCCATTTAGAGAATCCTTCTATTTATGTTATTTGTTTTAATTTAAGTACTCAAAACTCTTGTTTGTTTTTCTATTTTAATACCCAAACATATTATTGTGGAAACCACAGAGAGAGAGAGAGCCATCTAACGACTGCCTCAAATGTAGTCGCACTCAAATATGGGCTTGTCCAGCCGCTTGAGGTTGTTTGTATCCCAAGTTTAATTAAATTTCTGGCATACGACATCAGCAATCAAGCACCGGCAACATGGCATCGGCCTTAGCTATGGCTTTGGCTACGTCACCATGGGTTAGATGCACAGTCACATGCACATTTGAATTCGGTTAAATAGTCCACCTGCGGATGCCATCAGCCAGTCCACATCCACATCCACATCCATGGCCAATCCAGAGTGCCTAATGTTTTTAGGAATCGGAATGGCATGGGCTGATGGAATGCCCTTGTCCAGAAGCCACCATAGGTGGTTGTATCAGTATGTGCATATTCAAAACGCCAGTCGCTGCTAATATGTAGTAGCGGCTTATAAAATGTTACAAGTTTTGTATTAATTAAAAACTTCGGCTCGTGTGTGTACTTTTACCAAGTTATATATATATATATATATACATAAACATTTTTTCTGCTGCAATATAGCTCCTTTGCCATTCAGGTGTTCCTATATATACATATGTATGTAGTTGGTAGGTGGGTTGGACTTTCCCCCATGTGAGCTGCGCGCGGGTTTGTCTATTGTTTTCCGTCCGTCCGTCATTTTGGTAGGGCGTTGGGACCGCCCCAAAATAGACGAGCATGCACCGTTTTGCAATTTAAGCTTGTCGACGTTGCTGGTGTTGCCTTTGGGTTGAAACCACCATTCCGGATCCCCTACCCGTGCATCCATTCCGGCCATCCAACATCCAACCATCCATCAACGTGTTTGACCTAGCCGGCAATTCGGTTTGACATGCGGGTAAATTGAATTTTCGTTGTTTCGCATTTGTTTCGACTTGTTTCTTTTTTGATTTTGGCCCGTTGTACGAATTACTTATTCAAATTAAAAATATTTTTTCTCTCTCTTTTTTTTTTTGTTATTTTTTTTTTCACCCCACCGCCACCGCCGATGACTGCGGGAATATTTTTGTTTTTGTAGAGTTTCTCCGCAATTCTCGACCATTATTTTACATACGCGTACATATGTAAATGGTCGGCATGTGAGCCCCGGACTTTGTATATAATCCTGTTAGCATACAAGTGTAACTGAATCCATCTGCATAACTTTTTGGCCAACGGATAAATTTCACTTAGAATATATTTTTGTTTTTGAAAAACAATTTTTGGCACGGGAATGGGAAAGTGTAGTAGTTTTAAAGTCTCTTTTGAGAGTTTTTAACTTACAGTTTTATATTAAATTTTAGAATTTTTTATTATGTTATTTCAGATTCTTACAGGTGCTGTGAAGTGCTAAACGCTTAGTGCTGATTTGTTTTTGCAAAAGCTCCCTGCATTGCCCTCCCATAAGCTATTCCACTAACAATTTTTCGTTATCCTCTTTCATCCTCGTTCCGTCGCTAACTGTTCTTGTTTTTTTTCTGGGTCCTTCTTGAGCTCTTGCACTGGAACTTATTCTTTGTAACTTCTGTTTTAGAGTTTATTTCCCATGCGGAGGGTAAGTAAAATGAGTGATGAATTGGTTAGCAAAACAAAATATTTTTCTTTCTCTCAGTGCACATCTCCAAACCAACACAAAAACTTTGCTCAATTTGTGCACGTTTTCTTGTATTTGTATTTGTAAAAGCTCTGCCGTAAGACGAATTTGAGCAGTCCTGTTTCAGAATTCATGTATTCTATCTCTTTTCATCTATTACTTAAGTAACTGTATAATAACCTTATAATTAGTTAATTAGTTGGGTAATTTAATGCCAAATTTAAACGTAATTAAGCATTATCTACGTTTCCACATGCCCCATCATTAGCAAATATCCTTTCTTAATAGTCCAGAGATTAACTCAAAACAAACATTTAAAATTTCAAAAAAGATAAAAACCGTTTTTTTTTCGGCCATTCACATTTTGCAAATGAGCAAAAGTCAGATTTTGCATTCAGTTTTCCTTCGAAGCAACTTGAGGCATTAGGTTAAGTGGCAATCGCGGTCTGATTTATGGCTATTTCCGTCTCGTTGGGATTTCAGTGATTCAAGGAATTGGTAGCGCCGCAAATGAGCTGCCAGTTGGCAGTTGCTCATCCAACGGCCTCCGGGGTGTACTGCTTCTGGCTCATTAATTGATTGCACTTATGGCCCTCGAAGATTTGCATGATTCGCATGCAGAATGTATAGTACCGAGTGCGGAATTCATTATTTCCGGGAACAGTGCATTTGTACGGCAATTAGTCCGCTCGCGAACATAATATACCACGCCTTCGCCGCAGACCCGGACCCTGGGGCCCATGTTCCACTGCGGACGGCATAAATCATCTTCCAAAAACGGGGACGACGCCCCAGTATCAGTGTTGGATATATATATGGGACATAAATACCCGGGGACGTACCAAAACTCCGAAAAACGCTGTCTAATTGAGAGGCCACAACCACAGCGAGGCCAGAAAATCTGGCTGGGATCGGTATATTGAGTTCTCACAGTTAGCCCGCACGTTGCATACCCCAATCCCGAATCCCAATCTCGAGATGTCGCGAGCGGAGCCATTTTTCCATGTCTCATTTGCGGCGACCCCTCGAGAAATGTGATTGGGACTCGGTCTTTCCCCAATCTTGAGTGGGGTCACACGCACGTCATAAATAAATGTAAAAAACGGATCTAGGGGTGATGGACTAGGGAATACCCACTCCTCAAATCAAAGATATTAAAATGCTTAAGGAAAAGAGTTGGTTAAGACGTCTAATTGGTATCTAATGCTTATGATTAATAAAGTTGAAAATATTTTTAATATTTCTAATAAACTTTATAAACATTTTCTTTAGATTTTTTCTAGTGTAGTCTGAATATCCCCTAAGTTGCTATAAATAATTTAGTAATCAGAAATAAGGCTCTTGTTTTTCATTATTTATGATCCTTTAAAACAAAGTTTCTCCATGGCTATAAGTCAGGGGAAATGCATTCAGACTTTGTGTCAAAACATTTTTGATTACCAACAATTAACAATTCCTAAAAAAGCAAAGGTAATAATTTTTAGGAAAACACCTCTTTTGGGGACAAAGTTTACCAGAAACTTATAAATCTTATGAGCTGTCTGAGGAATAAATAATTGTATTAACATTTTGTAGTTTTGAGGTTGATTCTGGTAGAAGCTATGTAAATAATATTATGTTAAATATAATAAATTTTAACATTAATTTATCATTTCATTTTTAGAAGTAATGTTTAAGGCTAAATTAAAGTAAGCCGACGTTTTCAGAGTAACCTTTTCGGCTTTTAATAATAATTTTGTTTGCTTTTAGCAAGTTTTAAAGCCCATATGGGCTTATGATGTATAGAAATTAACTAATTGGTAGTAAAATTCCTTGATTTTCTTGTTTGAAATTCTTAAATAGAAAATTTAAAATTATGCACTTAAGCTAGAAATAACAATCAAGCACCAGAGAATGGTTTCTGGACAGACAAGAAAACTGCGAAAAATGGAAATTACTTGTTTTTGTGTTTGTCGCATCCAGATCTTCCCCTTCTCATCCCAAACTCCCGACAAGATCACTCATCAGTGGTAGTTGCCCAATGGCAATGTCTATATATCTACGTCTATATCTATGGCCGGCCTATGCTGTCCGTAGAGTCGCGCTCACGCCCACTTCTTAACATGCGCTACAAGTGCTAAAAATGCTGAAAACATATTTCACAATTAATTGTCGCCTCCGTTGGCGTTTGTTGTTTTTGCTCTCTTTCTCACTCTTCTTGCTATGCGACAAACGCTCCCTCCCCCCTACTCCCCTTTGTGCCACACCCCCTCGATATCCCTCCGTTGTCGTTATTATATTTTCCTCGCATTTTTAAGTGTTGTTCGACATGGCAAAAACAACGCGTTGCTGCTTAATTTGTCGTAATTAATGCTTATGAATAGTTTGTACTTGTCGCATTTGTTAGTGGGGGGAATCTTGGATTTTGTTGGTTAGTGGGTGGGTAGGTTGGTTGTAAACTTTGACTTACCTGCAGCTTAACCAGTTCCGGGTACTCGCTGGCCATCTTGGCCAACTCCTGATAATTAGCCTTAGCCATCGAAACGATCCACTCCTTTGCCTTGGGATGCGACAGTGTAACCTCCGGTGAATCCTTCTCCTCGATAAATTGCTGTAAAAAAAGAGAGAAGAGGAGCGCGCCCAGAGGGGCATAAATTAATTATGCATGTTTCTGCCACTTTGTCTACGACTTGGCGGGGGCGGTGCCGTAGTGGTAACAAACGAAAAAAAATAACAACAAAACTGAAAAACAAAAAATGAAAAACATCGGCACGAAGCGGGAATAAAACATAGAAAGCCCATTGAGAGCATTAACGCCAACACAGTCGTCGCCTCCCGGAATCTACGATTCTAATTTACCCGCTCGGTAACACACTCGCACACACACACACACACGGGGCTAACATTGCCCCACAATCAGCCCAGTGTGTGTGGCATCCGATGGATGTGCATATGGTTAGGGATGTGGAATGGGTTGGGTGTGCGGTGCACTTTCAAAAATATATCTCTGTTTTTCATAATTAGATCAAGCACGAACAGGATCACTCAGTGAAGCGAGGAAGATAAGACTTTTTAGTTATAAAAAATTAAACAAGTTGGAAAAAGGTTGCTTTAAGTTAATTGGTGGTTATAAAAAATATATAATAACTATTTTTTTAATACTATTTTTATAGATTTAATGCTGTGATTAGATGAAAACTTAAAGGATTGGCATAATAAGCCTAAAGAATTGCCAGAACTTAATGAAAACTTTCTTCTTGTTGTTTAAGAATGGGAAAAGTCTTGCTTTAAAATTCCATATTTTTGTAATATTTGCAGACTTTTAAGTTCTTTTAACCATTAATTTAGTTAATAAGGTTCTATATTATACCAAAATCATGTTTTTATGGACTTGAATCTGAGATTTAGTAGTAATTTAACTTAGATTTTTAACATGTCAATTAAGAACTTTAAAATTTAGTTAAAATTCCAATAAAAATCCAAAACATTTCCCTCAGTGTCAAGATGGGATGCCAATGATGGGGATGAAATTGGGATATGTGTTGTTCCAAGGGTGGAGGATGGAGAGCAGACACGGGCGTAAAAGCTGGATGGTAATTATGCTCACGCATTCGACGGCGCCATCGCCATGTTCCTCCACTAATTATGAAGGTAATAATTTTTATTTATTAGACGCGTGCTTAAGGCAGAAAGTACGATGGGTTCGTTCTTCGTTTGCTCTCGAGGATATCTCCCTCGAAAAGAAAGTAGCTATGCTTTCTTTTTTTTTTTTTGGTTCAGTGATTTACAGAGTTTTTTAGGGCTAAAAGGCGGAAGCGGCGGGGGACACACCCGCAAAACTCGGCTGCTGATAATGAGCCCTCTAATGATTTTCGAGGGGAATGGAAAGGTGGAGGGAAGTGGGGGACGAACACACACACACACATGTGCCATTCAGCCAGGGACAATAAGAGCAGCAGCAGCGGTACAGCAGTCGACATGTGTGCCTCATATTTACGAGCGTGCAACACATTTTCGGCAACTAATTATCCATTCGCGTAATGTTCGCGGGGCGGTACAAGCTGTGTGAATCCCCAAGCCCGAAAACTTCACCTGAACAACAACAACAAACATCATCCACTCCCGTGGTCTTTATTAGCCAGGCCTAACATTACATAGCTAATAAATAGGACGACGACATTTGAATGCCGCATTTAGCCGCAGGATGCGCAGAACGCGTGCCAGGACCTCATGCCCTCTATTCTATTTACACGCCACTTGACTCCCGGAGTGCTCACGTTTTTCCAATTACGGCCGGATTGGTGTTCTATCCCAGGTAAGGGCCAGGCCAGGAGTCGCCATTTGCAATGGGAAACTCTCTGTAGAAGTCGAACTGGTAACTGGAATTCGGTTTCGGATTCAGATTCAGATTCGGGCATTCCGGCATTCGAGCGAGCGAGGCGACAGGCGTTGCAAGAACAGAAACAGCAGCAGAACATCACAAAACAGTACAAACATTGAGACTCAAGGCCCCTGGCAAAGTGGCCATGTCAATGCTAAACAAAAGAACCCAACCCTAAACATAAACCCATTCAACGAGTCAGCCCAACCGAACGGAGCTAAACTGAACCGCCCACCACACTTTGGAAAAAGTTATTGCAAATTAATCAGTGACTTGTAGAGCAGCAAGTTTGCAACTAATTAACTAATAAACTAAGGAAATGCTATAGATTTGTTCTATTCTAGTAGGAAACTCATTTTCTATAACCTTCTTATATAGCTTAAGTCTGTGATAAGATAGGAACTAGTTAGATCATAGCCCAGACTAGAGATCCTGAAACTACGAGTAAGAAAAAATAGTTAGAACTTTGCCTTTAGTTTAAGCAATATTAAGCAATATTTGTTAAGCATTATCTTATATATTTTAGTAATAATAAAACCTCTTCTACCATATAAGCGTAACATTTCTCCCACTGCAGTCACCCACCCCAAAAGGAACCCCCCTATCAAGGCTACCTAGCTTTTTTATGGCTTTGGGTGGAGACCAAAAAAAAACAAAAAGAAAAAAGAGAGAAAGACAAAACTCGGACTGGAACTCTGACTCGAACTCCAACTTTCAATTCCCGGACAGGGACTTTGGTGGGTTGAGCACCGGTTGCCCTTGTCTATGGCCCAGTCCATTCGGCCCAGTCATCCTCCCCGAACGCTTGTTTGTTGGCCAGTTTTCTTATGTCCCGTGTCCCTTGATGCCCGATATTATATCACACAGCTGGCCGTTGTCCTTTTTGTCCAGGCTGTGGACTTGGCCATGGGTCCAGGACTAGGACTCTCATCGGGGTCTGGGCCATGTCCCTTCAGTGTTTACGTTGGCCCCGGCGAGTCTTACCTTTGGACCGATGCCACAAAATGGTCGTGTTTGCCATTTCCATGGGCGGGTGGTTGGATTCTCGACTCCGTCCATTTTTCGTAGTAAAAAGAAGGGGGTGTGACTGGCAACTCGTCCGGCGAACGGTTGGAAATTGTTGCTGTTGTAAATTTAACCGCTTCGGGACACAGTCCGTTGTTGTTTAACAGCAATAACAACTTTTGGTTTGTTTCCTTACATTTTTAATTGGGTCCTTTGTGGCTGGCATGGCCGTGATGAGAATAGCTTTGCCTAACTAATTTCTATTGCTGCTTATTGGCTATGTTAACATGTTTCACCAACTTGTTTTATGCAAAGGGTTTTTCGTTTCTAACCCTACCTCGCCTTGAACCCCCCAACAGTGGACCCGCCCCTCACAGTTTCTATATGGGTCGCGTTGGCAGTTTTATATGCATTCTGGGACACTGGAGGTTCCACCTATTTTAATAAGAATATATGCGGTCTGTTTGATGCTGCAGTCTGTGTTTTGGGATGGGGATTTGCTTTAAAGGATAGTTTGGGTTGCTTTGGCAGGGGGTTTTAAATTAGAGTCACAGAAAATCAACGGAACTTTCCTTTAGTTTGGGTTTGTTTGTTTTAGATGGAAGAGGAATTTGAGTTTAAGGGTTTAAGGAGGGTCACTTCAAGGTTTATTCATCAAAATATCAACTTTTGCTAAGCACGACTTAAAAAATTGCCTAAATTAACATTCAGTTTTGAAGGCTTACCAGGAAACACTTTTTAAATACCAAAAACTTGAACCCCAACATTTCTGTATTCCCCCGTTAACCTTCCGAAATTTCATCAATCAAAACCAGTCAAATTATAAATTTTCTATCAATATTAGTTATTTAAAAACAAAACAAAAAAAAAAAAAAAACGAAAACCAGCTCGTTGTTTGGGGCGTAAAATTAATCAATCCTTTGCCATCGCACAACGGCGCTGAGTGAGCGTACAAAATGCAAAATCATCGAGCTAATTAAAAACGATCGAAACGAATTTAATTGATCAGCTAGCTGAGATCCAAGATCCCATAGTTACAGTTGCAACGCCAAAAATTTCACGGTCCATCATGATGGATCATGATACTCCACTTGCTGTCCTAGTCATGGTTGGAGGGAAAAAACTCCCATGAATTCGATTCACTACTTGGCATTCCTAGGAACATCATGATGAGCCACTTTCTTTTCGCCCTGCAATGATTAGTTTTTCTCTCCTTTTGATAATCGAAAAAAGCAGCCAAAGCAACATCCATCATCAAAACCTATCCCAATATTGTTAACAACTGAATTTTAATAATTGCGTGAAGACGGTTGGCGCCATCGGAAATGATGGTGTACCTTGTTAGCGAATCAATTTGTTAACAAGCTGTAAGAGCTTATACTTTCTTTATAATCTAAATAGGAGCCATCAACTCGATCAGTATCAAGTGGGGGTTAGACCTTTCTCTTAACTGAATTCATGTTGCAGACAAATTAATAATGACTTGTGGAAAAATGGGGGCGAAATTAATATTTCCTAAACTACCATTTTCCCTTTTTTTTCTTAATTTACATACTCATTTAACTAATCTATAAATCTTATTCCACTTAAGAACTAATTTTTAATACAAGACAACTAAAAAACTAATTTAAAAATGCCCCTCAAAAACCATATTCCATGCTGCTTTAGCTAGTAAAAAATCCCCCATGGCTTCCACTTTAACTTGAACTTAAATTTTATATTTTTAATTTTGTTCTTTGCTCGAAAAATGGGATGTGAAAAATCCAGAAACATGAAATACGTGAGAAATCCAAAGTTACGCGGCATCATTGATGCTTTGAAAACAGATTTCCAATATAAGGACGAGTTTTCATGATTTCTCCATGTCCGAATGTCTGTACAAATAGGCACTTAAGTTCGCTTCCCGATGTTTTAGTGGGATTTTATAGCATCTGACGTGCCGTTGACAATCTCCGTTTGACGTACATCCACTGCTGCTGCTTCGTGGCAGAGCATCTTCCTCGAAAACATGATCCAAAAGGGATGGTGTGGAATGGGATAGCACCATCATCCGTCTCCACAGACAGATTCGGATGATTTATGCACTGGGGATATACGTTTTCAACTCCAAATTGCTTGATTGACAGGCCTAAGTGGATGACAGTTGTTTGACAACTCGGCCCAATTGCACTATATTCTATATACTATAGACTATATAGCTTGTAACATTAACTAAGAAACGATTTTTCCGTAACGCTTGACAAATTCCATTGCCACATGCTCTCGGAGATTGATTTTTCGAAATTAGAATCTTGAAATGGACACGCAACAAATTATATATGTAAGAGTCTGTGCAGAGATTTGGGTGGATTTTTTTGAAGTGTTGAAGGTTGATGTTGCTTTATGTTTAGGTTGGTTAATTCTTAAGAAAAACTATGTTTTAGGTTTGGAAAATGGGTGTAAGATAAAGGTTTTTTGGTAGAACGCAGAGGACAATATTCATAATCAAACTTTCTTAACAAGTTATGGGGGATAAACTTTGTTAGGTATGATGAAGTATAACCTTTCCTAACCCTGATTAACAAAATCAAATAACGTATATATTTCTCTTAAATATGATAAAGTACATATATAGTTTTAAAAAATCCCTTTTTTACTTCCCTGATCCCATTTCATTGCCCATTTTTCTGAGTGCCATCCTGGCATGCAAACTTTTATTGCTCGCAAAATTTCTCACGTAACTCATTCTGGGACTGTCCTCGATGTGTTGCTACACATAATAGGCTTTTGGGGTATCAACAAATAACAAAAAAAAAAAAAAATGAAATAAAAATAAAGTCGCAAGGGGGGGTGGGGTAACAAATACCCAGCCTAAGTGCCGGCGAGAAGTGTCGTCATGGCCAGTTGATGGAACAAAGTTACTAAACACATCTGACTCGGGAATCGAATTCGGAATCGGAGTACATGTGTCCGTACATGTACGTACACATGTCGGGCATCAGCTCTCCAGCTCACCAGCTCTCCAATACCGTTCTCCTTCAGCTCTCGAATGCGCGGCGACAAAGCCGGGACAGAAATGTGGACAGAAAAGCGAACGGAACGATGCAGGCGCATGTAGTTTTATGAGACTTACATTTATATTGTCCACTAATAAAATTAATGGATTTATTCAATTCGGGCTCTGGTGCTGTATGCTCTGCTGTGCTGTGCTGGTGGCAATTCGTGACAAGGCTCTGGGAAAACTGTGACAGACAGTTTGGGTGACCAGCTTAGTGAGAGCCATGGCTTTCTGCCAGCAGTTCCACTTGAGGTGGCCCAAATGCCTGCCACGGTCACTGATGCATTGACAATAATTACTACGGGGGTTTCAGGGGCCAACAGATCTAATCTGACCCTGATTTGTAGTGAACTAGCGATATGGACTTTTTTGCCATTCAGTCATAAGGCAGTGATGGGAAAGGAACTACTTCTTAATCCTATTGTGTAATCGAAAGAGTGCCCTTAGGATTGATAAAAAGCAGTCAAAACCAAGAACTAGTCTGCAGTTTATAATTGTAAAAGATAAAGAATGAAGATTTCTCTAAACTCACTTAAGAAGAGCCTCTAACCTAAATATTCAAACAAAAATTTTAAGTTAATTAACTTAAAAACTTTACATTTCTACCACCCATACTAAAAACTTTTCATGGAAATATTCTTAACCCTCTGCTAATTAATCACAACTAAGCCCTTGCTAAAAAACGTCGCATATCTGAATTGTCTTCGAGCGAATCTTCCCACTGACACACAGGAAATGGAACAAATTGTGGCACCGCTGGGAGGTAAGGGCCCTAAAAGACACCCGCACCCGCGCCCAAACCCGAACCATTACCCGCATGATGGGTGTAATGCACCGGTTAACCGGTTTTCAGTCACTCACCTTCTCTGGCTTCTTCTTGGCTGGCGGCGATATGATTTTAGCCTCCTCTTCAGATGCCATCCGGTTGAACTTGCGCGTGGCCTCCTTTACGCTGATGGGATTCTCGGCCACATCGCCCTCGCCGGAGGGAGTATTAAGATCGGTCTTCTCCGGCTTTTCATTGGAAGAGGAATCCGTCGATGCCTCCGATGAGAAGGAGAAACGAGGTATATTCTCCTTGTTGTCGGTCACATCGATGGAGTTGGATCGGGAAGATGGTGGTTTCTCCTGAGGATCCGGATCCTCTGACTTAATCGACGGCTGCTTCTCCAAACGGGCAGGTTCTATGCGCTTTATAGCAGCCGTAAATTCGTCCACGCATTCCTGATAGTTTTCTTGGTGCTCCTTGGTAATGGAAACAGCAGGCGGAGACGTGACCATTGGAGGGGGTTTATACGGTGGTGGCTGCCTCATGGGAGAGTCAAAGTTCAGCGATCCTCCGCCTGGACTTGAGGGCTCTGGGTTACTGGATGCAGCGGCAACTGCACGCTCCACAACTTCCTCCGTGGGACATTCATTCACATATTTCTTGCGCAATATCAAAAACTTCTGATTGTTCTCGTTCTTGATCGTGGACAGCAGTGTGACATAGGTCTTGAAACGCTTGCGAGCCTCATCTGGAAGTAATCATAGAAACATCCATATTCATAACCAAGTTTCCGTGGTTTTTGTTTGTCATTAGATTCAACAGGTTCCCCAAACCCGAAAGACAAACACAAATGACTCACTTTGGGACTGCGGATGGGTGAGGAATTTCTTAAAGTGCTTCACCAACGCGTGATTTGTCACTTTGCAATCGTTTGCCAACATGTAATTACGGATCTCCGAAATGGACAACTCTTTCGGCAGCTCCATTGCACTTCAAACTTTAATTTAAAACACTTTAAAAACGCGAAAAATAAAATAACACAACAAACAAAAACATTTGACCAGGGCACTGTAGTTGTGTGGATTCTTGCATCCCTCGTGGTTCGCGGAAAAAAGCTCGCTGATTTCACTGAATGACTAAAGGCTAGATGCTCTGAAATTACAAATTGCCTTGATTTCTTATGAATTAAATAAAATTGAATATAAAATTATTTACATATACGGTGAAAAAGTTAACTAAGTGATCTCAAAGGTAAATTTTTTTTAAAAACATTTTAAAAATCTAAAAAATTAACTTTTAGAGGCAATTTTTTTTTAAACATAAAAGAGAAATGCAAAAATATCGACGAAAGCACACGGTAAAGTACCGTTTTTCTTAAGAAGAGCAAAACAGAATCCAAAAATAAGATTGGCTAAACAATTTCTTGTGTCAAACCTTTGTAAACTTAAGTTTTAATTTTTATTCCATCCCATTGCAATGTTTTGACCATTTAAACCTTTTTACATTGAATATAAAGTTGTATTTTCTGAATGCAAAGTACAAAAATGTAGTAGAATTTCTTGTGTAAACAGTTTGTTGACAAACTGTATATGAATGGTTTATAATCCATTATGAAATCCCTTAAGCAATGAAACTTGCAAATCAAATTCGATATAAATTTGCATAAAATTCAATTCGATTCGAAGCCGTCTGTGTCAAGAATATTTGATTATGCAAAAGAAATATTTAAAACAGTTCCGAAATTAATTCCTAAGACATTGAGACAACCAAATGGCAATTCTGGGAGGCGGAATAACCTCCATCCTCTGGATTCTGGGAGTTAACTTTGCAGAACTTGTATATGTGGGCCATAGAGTGAGTTGATTTCCTTCTCAATTGGCCAAATGGTTTCGGTTCGGGCCCTGTATGTGCGGCAATTTGTTGAATCGACGTCATTTATCATCCGCACGGAGAGTTCTAGCCAAGAGGAAGCCACAGTCGATGACAGTGACAATGGCGCATCTGGATACACAGATTGGGATTGTATCTTTCACTTGCATTTCAAGATGCAAATGTCAAGACGTGTCGTACTCCGTTCTCTGCCCCTCCAATCCCCTCCTTGGGGATGCCTCGATGGCGCAGATGCGCACTAATTTGTATGCCTGCACTTCGTTTTGGGATTGGGTTAAATGTATCTTGTGGATAGGAGGAAGGAAGCGTGCTCCAAGTCATAAATGTGGCTAAATAAATTACTCTTATTTATCACTTTTTATATGTGGAGTGGAAGATTGAGTTTGGTTTGGTCACAAAGCTTACCAAGCTTATAACTTGCTCGTAAAACCTTTCACCTTTACAAAGCTAAATAAAAATAACTATGTTTTTAAGTTTGTTTGTAACAAATGGTACTATATATACATTAAATACATTAAGAGAAAGAGTTTATAAAGCTGCCTCTATAATCCCATTAACTAAAAGTTACTGCCTCCAAGAACATTAATTACCTAAAAGCTTTTCCCACTTTCCCAACAGAAAATCATTCCAATCTCCTTAAGGAAGCGAGAAATGGCTCGTCAGTGCGATTACAGCTATGTTCGGCATTTCCAGTTGGATTAGGCAATTGTCACCGATTGCGTGGCAAAGTGGCGCCTGATAAGCGTTGCAAATGAATTTATATGCCATATTGAAGTGCCAGTATCTGTATCTGGAGGCAGTTTTCCCAGCCAATGCCATCCCAACTCGACATCCACGACAAGAGAACGTCTGGGCAGGCAGTTGCATTTTTCTGATCCAAAGGGGAAGTTGGCATTGGTGCGGGCGAGGATTGGCAGCAGCCATCTTGTAGCTGTGGATAGTGGTGTATCCCACAGATACTTTTCCCCTCTTTACCTACTATTTTTTTTTTTGCTTGTACACCGGTTGGCGTCAGTGTTGAATGCTGCAGACAGCGATCGACGGCGAACGATCCTCGATAGTTGCAACTTGCAGCGTTTGTCTTGTCCTGAGGTTGGGGATGCTATAGTAAGCTATAAGGTGGAATGGGCTGCTGCCGCTGCTGCTGCTGTGGCATAATTGGCAATTGGGGAATGGGTATGGCAACGGGAGTGGAAATGGCCATGGCTGGGGGAATGGATTGGGCTGTGGATTGGAAATGGATTCGAAATGGGCCTGAGAATGGCACTGGGCTTAATCGGTTTTATGACTTTTTTGCCAACTGGCGGAGTCACTCGAAGAATTGTGGCTACTATTATGACATTAAATTTTTCTGTTATTTACTTAAAATGAATGTTTGAGTTAAATCTATAAAAATTTCATTTTTAATGTTTAAATATTTTCAGAAATCTTACAGAAATGTTCTATCGTAAGGTAAAACATTTTGATGGGGAAACCCCATGAAGTTCTAACCATCATCAATGAAAGGGCGACCCTCTTATTTTTTCAGATTTCCTTCATCTCATCAAATTTTTCGAGTGTGCCAACTAACGCCGGCTGTCTATCTGGCCCAGTCACATCGAAGTCGTGGCCGGATTGAGTTTGTTTCTGTGTTCGGCTTAGCCAAGAGATTCATTCCCTCATTTCTAACCTGCGAATCGACGTTATTTATTTCTCCTTGCCTCTTTGCCTCCTTGACCCCTGGAGAGTGGCGCCTAAAATTACACGAGCTGTCACCGCGGATTGCTCAAGAATCGGGAGATTTATTGTGACCGGGAATTGGTTTGGTTTGGATTCGAATCGCTTCGATTGGTTCGTCTTTGGCTGGTTTGGAAAAGTCAAATAGCCGGGGTTCGTCCGTAATGCCTAGCAGATGTCTGTGGTTCCACGGACCTGGCCAGCAGCATCAGCAGCAGGAGCAGCCTTATAAGTAGTCTGACAGTCATTATTGAGCCATTACCAAATGAGCAGTTCGCATTATAAATGAGCACATAAAACATAAACGTTGTCGCCGGGCTCGAGAGCCGATTAATGCAATTTAACACCCCCACTCACTCGACCCTCATCCCTTGTCCGGAATTTGTAGTATCAACGTCAACGTTTCAGCTCGTCATATGTTGCTATTTCCGACGGTGCGGCACGGGAGTTCAATCAGATGCCATATATATATATATATATGTATATAGTACTATAGAGAGTGTTTCGATTTTGATGGTGGCTCTGAAGGAGTGCGGTCAAATGCTTTAGCTCGCACCGGGATTTCGGCTCGTTTCGCTCGGCTTAGCCGTGGGACTCCCAAGTGGGATTATGTCACTTCCCGGTGACATTTGCATTTTGATTGACAAACTCATTTGAGAGCCTGCAGTTCGTCCTTGCGTCCTGGCATCCTTGTGCGTCTGCATTTCCCCCTCTGGCTCATCGTCCTTTGAGTGTGTTTGCCAAGCGCTTAAGAGATTTTCAATTACACTGATTTCGAGGAACAATGAAAAGGTATTTAAATGCTGCGATTCAGAATATTTACACTTTCGGGGGTGCTAGTGGGTTAAGCTGATAATAGTTATTAACTTTCGTATTGAGATTGGAGGGTAATGGGTTATTAGGAAAGTTTATAAAGTACTTAATTTGAAACACTAAAGGTGCATAAATTAATTTTGTTTTACTTTTGTTTACATTTACGGGCACCGCTATTTTTCAACTTTTGTTTTTCATTTCAATTTTCTGGTATTCAAAAATGTTAGTATTTTTAGTAGGCCTTAAACCTTTCATTTTGAATTCCTTTTCAATTTCAATTAATTTCCAATCAATTTTAATTTCAATTTTACATTTTTGTCTACATTTCTTGGCAGCATAAAATGTAATATTAAAGTGATTTATTGATCATTTCTTGTTGGTCTGTAGTAGTAACTTTTACTAAACTTAATAACTCAAAACACCTTCAATTTGAATTGCCTTTCCATATTTTTACTGTCTGAAAAATGTCTAAATAAATCCTTTCTTTTATTACCAAAAGTTAATGCAAAATTTGACAAGCTTTCATAGTTAGCTGTCTAACTTACTTTCTAACAAACTGTGGCACATGCAAATGATTTTCTATTTTCCATATATTTTAGTAACAAAACAAATGCATCCCTTACCAAAAATGTGTCTTAAATTGTTCATTTAATTAAGCTATAATTCTCCCCCAAAATTTGACATTGTTAAAATGAAAAACTAAAATCAATGCTCTCACCGGAAAATTGAATGTTACATTTGTATGTACTTACTTTCCCATCAGCCAAATATTGCATAATGAGTAGAACTCAATTACGCTCGCGTAACGCAGCGATATATTCATGTGACAATTTTTAATGTTTTGTGACAACCATTAAAGTCGTGCCCGCTGAAAATGACAACAATAAAAACCGGGGGAAAGGTTGGCTGCCTATATCGAGTGCGTATATCGAGTCCTGTGACCCTTCTCTCAGACCCGGATTCCGTGGCAACCCCCTCAGCTCTTTTTGAAGATCCGAAAACCGAACGGAACCGAACTCGACAGCCGTCAACGGCGAGTGTTGTGACAGTTTTTGCCAGCGAATAAACAATAAAAATAAAAATATATTTCATTTTCCACGGTGTGAGGGGTTCGGCGTTTTTGGGTTCCCGAATTCAAGGATTGCCTTTGCCATTTGCTGGCTATTTTGAAATTGATATATGCATAAACCGCAGTGACAGATGTTGCAATTAAAACGGCATAAAACGGTGGAGGAAATGCCACCATCCCTTCTATAACCCTGATATATCTACACATATATATTAAATATATATATACATATCCTATATCGAGTGGCGTGAAAAGTGCGCGCTGTCAGCCTGACAGGAGGACAGCTCAATTGTCAAAATAGGTTTTAAGTGCCGTCGACTGATTTGTAAGTGAAGTGCACTTCTTGCCACTCCGCCGCTGGCAACGCCACTGCCAATTGCGTTACCAAATCCAAGCCTGCGATTCAAGCTCAGGACTTCTTCTCTTTGGCTCAGAGGGTGGTCAGTGTGTGGCTGCCGCAAATGGAAACGCCCCATGTGGTTGTGCCACTCGTCTGGTGTGTACCATCATGCTGACCCATTGATTGATTGCATTTGGCCTGCCGCTGCCACGCCCCCCTGCCACCGCCTCTTAGCCACTGCTCTCCCCTGACCATCGCCCTTTTGCGCTCTGAAAACCAGGCGATTGCAAAAGCGCCACTCGTAAAACGCGCAACACAGCAAATATTGTACTTAACACCCGGAGGGGCACTTGGCCCGGACTCTACGTTCTTGTTGCTGCTGCTGCACTGGGAGAAAATGTTTCTTTAGATTTTATATATATTTTAATATAGAAGCTATCTGTATTCAGAAACTTTAAAATTTATAAAAAATATAAAAAATACACTCTAAAATAAGATTTCCACATTAAAAATATGCATCAAAATTATAATTAACAGATTTTCCAGATTTTACAATCGATTTTTCGAAGAGATTTTATGAAAATGTTTTCTTAATTTCATAAATATTATTATCATACTTCAAAATTCCAGAACAAAACATAACCTGCTAATAAAATCTTTATAAAATACTGAAAAACTACCAAAACTATTTGTTCCTAAATTTTGCCCAAGTGTTCCATTTACCGCTGGGTTTTGCCTTTGGCCTCGGCATGACTTGGCTTCCCTTGGAATTAATTCACATTTACGTTTGGCAGGGGCAACAGCTTTGGTCATTTGTTGCTTTGAGCTAACACGTTGCTCTCATTTTCCGGCGATGCTTGGCCGCGGTGGGTGGTGCCACCACCATGTGCAGTACCACCACCACCCACTCCATATAACACACCCACACACTGCTTCCATCAGCACCACGTGGATCGTTTCTCTTCTTTTTTTTCCCCTCCTGCCCACTGTCATACATATATATCTTTCGCTGAGCGAGGTGAGGACACGCCCAGACCTTATGGCGCAATTCCATCGTGTAAGTCGCACTTTTTCGGTTTTATAGGTTAATTTGCTTTTATTACATTATCATAAAAATAAACAACAAAAAAAAAACACAAGAAAAACAAACAAAAAACACAACAAACAAGCTTGCCAACACACACAAGAGCATCCGCGACACCCGCAAAAAACATTTGAGGTTTACCTCACGGCATCATCCACAGTGGACTCTCGCCGGAGTACCATTTCCGGAATGTGTGTCCTGTGTGCACCCGGACCCAGGCATTAGTTCAGCTCCCCCTGCTAGTCCTTCGTCCTAACAGAGAATCGTAAAAAATAGATCATAAAGCGGAAGTCCAACGAGGTTAGTGCGTATTAATAGGGAAACTTTTTTCCAGAAATGGCAGCACTTTTCATATCCACATGGGTAATCAGTCAGATTTTTTCATCTACTCAACGTATGGGATTTTAAAAGTGTATTAAAAAGTTGTAGTAAACTGAAGAGTATTGAAAATTGAGGGGCTAAAACTAATACGAAAAATCCCTTTCAATTAGTTCTAAAAATATCTTCGTGAAGTCAACTTTCATGTTAATCATTTATCTTCATTTTAAAACATATATTCATCGGAACTAGAAACTAGGTCAGGCTTTTCATGTTTTTCAGATACACGTCAAGAGCTATTTAATTGCAATTAAAATTGTTTGTATACTAGAAATGTGTTAAATTGAAGGAAATAAATTGGCTAGAAATTGGTATTACGGGTTTTGATATTTGCTGAGTTTTAAAGGCAAAACTAAAATGTTTGTTTAATGATTAAATTCGGTTTATTCTAGTTTAGTGCGTAAAAATGTTATAAAAGATCTAAATTTAATATTATGAGGTGAGATAAGAAGATTAATCATAGTAGTGAATCTAATAAAAATAGGTAAATGTACTTCTTAGACCTTACAGGTTGTAGAATGGTTTCTAAAGCTTCTTGAAAGTTGTGTTAATTTACATTCTACAAATAAAAACACTCTTAAACGTTAAGAAAAGTATCAAAAATGAACAAATATATATCAACCTTTTAAATGAAATGTGGGGAAAACCCTAAACTTTCTAATAAACTTCTAATTCCAAAGTAACTTCCAACCACTTCTCTTGCCATTTAAGTGTAAAAGTTTAAATGACAAAAGAATCAAGTTACCTTAGAAAGGAAGGATATTAATTCCTGCCATAAACCACTTCAAACCCCGTTGATATTTCAAAAACTTGCTAAAGAAATTGCGTGATATTTATTTATAAACCCGATTAGGAGCGAGATTAATTAGTTAGGATCGATAATTGGAGTTAACTTTCGCGCAATTCAGCGATAAAGCTAATGACGGGTGATAAATACACGAGCAAGTTGCCGAGGAATTCGGTGATCGTATTAACGCTTTTGTGTCGCCACTTCTGGCCACTTGGCCACTTGGCATTTCCAGCTGGCGATCGTATTCCAGACCAAAAGTGTCGTCTCCTGGACTTGTGAAAAGTAAACAAACAAATGACTAGCCAAACAAAACAAATGGGCGTAGCCAGGGAAATGTACAGGAAAAAAAAACAGAAAAAAAGAATTGTGAAAATTCGAAAAGAATTTTTTTTGTTTTTGGTATTTGCTTTCTTTTGTTTGGTGGCCTCGCACCTGTCCATTAAATCAACCAGCCGAAGGCAATGGAGTACTATGATTGGTGGTTGAGCCAAGCTCGCTTTCCAGTGAGCTGCGAATACGAGTTGCCTGGCTGAGAGAGAGAGGAAAATGCCACCACCACTGCCAGTGCCACCGGGAGAATGGTGGGCGTTTCCCAAAATACTTCATTCACTTCCAGTCCATCAACCGCCGGCTCTTGCTTTTGCTCCAAGGCGAGCGGCATTCTTGTTTTTTGGGGGGGTCGCAGTAGCGTTGTCTCTCTCTGGCAGCAACTGCAGCGGAATGCGCCAGCAACAGCAACACGGCCAACAGCGACAGCAGCAACAGCAACGGCATTCGCAACCAGTTCGTGTTCGAACGTTATAAGGTGCACATCTAAAGGAGAGCGTGTGCTTGAACGCGGGTTTTGCCGTCGATATTTCGTCGTTTTATCGTTTGTTGCGAGTGTTGCCGCCGCGTTTTTCCGCCGAGTGTTGGCCAAGAATAAATCTCAAATACCAAACAAGTGACAGCTACTATTGTAATACCAAAACCAAGTGATATACTTTCTAATGTCGTTGTTGTCTTTAATGCCGTTTACTGTGAACAGACCCAATCGAAACTGAGCTCTTAACTTGATAAACACATCATTTGATGTAGGAGCTATACTATATATCCTCCAGAAGACTGCCCAAGTGAGACAGAGAGCGAGAGAGAGAGAGAGTAATCCTAAGACTAAGTCTTAAAGCTTCTTATAGTCATAGAGCGAAATGGCTGCCTACACACAATTTGGATACGGAGGCTTTCCGTCGGCCTCGCAGGTGGGTCTCTAATTAATAAAGTCTATTAATATTTATAGTCATTAAGTAGTAAGAGATTTTTGAGATATCAAAAGAAGAATGAGTATATCAGGATATTAAGATTTCATTTTATTCATTAGACTTGATAGTAACATCATATGATTATGATTAGTCTAAGTAATTACAAGTTCTCATGCGTATCTTGGTTTTGAGATCTAAGGAATTGCTATTCTTTACCGTAACTTTTCGCTAAGTACTTTAATTATTACTTTTAAAAATCTTTAATAGCTTGTTTTGTTTATATTGCTGGTTAGTTAAGTTAGTTTTTATCTTAAAAATAGATAAGAAACAGGCACTACTTTGGCTTAAAGTTATCTAAAGTAACTTCACTTTTTTCTTCTTCTTTCATGATATTTTAAAGTTATTAAAAACCCTGTTTTTAGCCACCTTTTTTGACAAAAACTTTCATTTTAAAACTCCTTACCACACACTATCCTAAGAGTACTTTAACCAACCCCACTCAAATCCTTCATATCATTTGATCTTGAAGACCCACTATAGGGCCAAACCGCTAAAAAGTCTTTGATTGTTGCGCTTTTTGACTTTTCACTAAAAAGCAAAAACAGCTGCCTAAAGCCAACTTTTTCCATGTTTATATATGACAGTAAATTGGTAGAAGGCCAAAACAAAAACCAAAAAAAAAACCATAATAAATCAGATGGCTGATAAATGGCCTGAGAAAAAAACACTCCAAGGACTGTAAACTTTTTGTCAACTTTGAAAAATCACAAAAAACTGTTCGGCGCTTTAAAGATTTTTTTTAAAGCAAAAGATATGAGAGGAGGGTTGCAGGTGCAACTATAATATTTTATAGGTCTTATGATGGATTTATGAATCTATATAAATTAGTATTCCATTGATTGAGTTTGCCTAGGTAAAGGAGGTCTACTACCTGAGCTTAACTTAAATTTTCCCAGGCTATAATTGCTTGGCATCGTCGCGGCTTAAAAGCGACAGTGTGTGTGGATTCCTCTGCAGAACTCTGGAGTCTTGCCCATTTCAGACCACACGAGTCCAATTAAGTGCAGTCGAAAACGAAAACAAAAACCAGGCTGGAAAAAAAAGCTTAAAGCCAAGATCTTTTGTAGGCAATCAGAAGGCCAAGACGATGGGAGGTGCCGATTGAAGCACGCTCTCAGGTGAAACTGTTGAAAAGTCAATAAAATTCAATTGCGGCGATCGTAAATCATAAAATTCATAACCGTAAAGTGACAGCTGAGGGCAGGCCCTGGGAATGCCTTGCCAGCTACGTGAGGAGCATCCATTGATTCTCGATCCCAGATACCAAGAGAGATCCCACAAAACGAGACCGAGATCGATGGACCAATGACTTGGTTCCCTCTCACACACACTCTCTCTCTCTCTCTCTGATCTACTTTACATTGAGCGGCAAAGACGGTGGTAGTGGCTCCTCTTGACTCCAAGTGGCGCTTATAGCCTTGTCCTATCAACTTGGTCATCTGGATGGTCCAAGCAGCAGAAGATTGTCGGGGGAGGGCTTCAAGAATCGGGAATCGAGAATCGGGAGCCTGGCAGCGGGACCCAGAGATACAAGTCGCGATTAGATCGCTGCGTTTGCGATTCACAGAAATTTCCAAACTGGACTTGGGACTCGAACTGTGGTATCTCTGGTATTGGTAGGTACACCGGCAGCACTCCGGCACTGGTTACTGGGCGCGCACACATGGCCCAGCAGCAGATCTTATCTGTGCACTGTCGCCTGCCAGTCGTCTGCAAGTCGTCGCAACTCTCTACCAGCCTCCAACTGCCAACTGCGAACTACCAAGCTACCAATTCACATGACCATGGCCCACTGGACTGGCGCTTCCTCTGCAGAGCCAAGCGGAAAGGCAGGAATGGAGTCCTCTGCATTTCGCCTCATGAATAATGCATTCGCACCAAGGAGCTGAGGAATCTGGCAGGCGCATAGAGCTCCCTATATGGTGTCGCCTATCAGATCAGTTGTCATAATTCTCATATTCTGCGAGAGTCTCTGGGAACGTAGAATGGAGAACGGAGAAGCCTCCATCCCGAACGTCGAAACATTCCCATACCGAAAACCATCAAGAAAACGAAATGTATTTGCTTTTTACTAATTAAAATCACGCGGCAAAAACACAGAAAAAAAAAAACACCTGAATCATTCATTTGTAAAAATTTTGATAAATGGTTGTTATTTTTTTTTATATAATTCTTTTTTTTTTATGATGTCCCTATATATAGTCATCGGTCTTGGCCTGGCCTCGAAATTCTATTATTTGAGCGCTCTCCAGCATGACTCACAAGATTTTTCCTATATTAATTACGAGACGATCAAATGGCCTTCTAGTGGATCAATCACCTGCAGACTATAAGGAGGATCCGATCTGGGGAATCGATCGCAGCTGATAATTATAATATAATATGCAAGGGGCTGCGATTTTTCGGTTCTATTGTCAGATTATGTTAATGGCGCGGAATAATTATGCGTTTTGGGCCTGCAAAATTCTGGCCACAGAAGCCGTGTAAGCCGGCTGGAAAATTGTTGGCCAGATTATTATGACCTTTTGCTGGCATTCGATCAATTTGTTGCCTGTCCGTCAGGCGGAGCACTCAACTTAATTATGGGTTCGGTTGCCAGCCAGACTTCAGGCCACTTCTCAGTCTTCCAAGACTTCCAAGTCTTCACCAGTCTTCAGACTTTTAAAAGTATTTTTATGAAATTAAGGCAGCGCGCTCATTTTGCAGATTGCCCGCGGTAATTTTCAGAAGCCTTTGCCAGCATGTTGGCCAACTCCATCTCCATCTCCTTTATATCCCATATCGATCTTGAATGGGTCCCTCGGACCTATAGGCGTCGGCTGCCACACCCTCATTGATTTCTGGCATTTTTAAATGCCCCAACCAGTCTTCTTCTTGGGCTTGGCGCATTTTGCATATTAATTGCCAAGTGACTGGCGCATGCCATAGGCGAAGAGTAGGCACTTCAGCAAAGATGGAGGACATCACATCATCAGGTTGCCTCCAAGATCCAAGGCACTTGAAATCGATTTGCTGGGGTAATTGATCTGGCCGCCATTGCAAAAGAAGGAGTTAAATCGAAAAGGCAGCTCCTGTGACCATATTGATTAAGGGAAACTTAATCGCCGCGGGATTATGAATCCCGTACAGCTTCTGCGCTTTCCGTATGCCGTCGGCATTGATTGTGTGTTAACACCATATTCGCTTACATGTTATCGATGCATCTTGTAATGGGCCTTCTGTCGATTTTTCGAATTAAATTCGCAATTACCCAACGATTCATAGCCAGCACCCGCTCGCGCTCGGATTTTGTATCTAAAGGAGTTGGATGAGGATGAAGATGAGTTTGAGGATGGGGTAGATGCGATGTGGGGTGGGTTAACAACATTGCCGGACATCAATATTTATGAAGTTTCCAGTACGGCAGTTAGCATGACTTACTTGGCTTTTATGCTCTGGAAAATTAGCCATTATGCATGTACGTGCGTTTCCTGTGACGAGGCGGAGGAATCTATTCCCAGGCAGGTTTGCCGGCTAAGTTGACATCTAGTTTATTGGGATGTTAAGAAAGTAATTTATTGTAATTAGAAATAATTAGTTAACAGAGTTCTTGAAGATGTATTTATTGAACTAAAAATAACAAAGGAATATGTACTTACTAAAAAAAAGATAGAGGAGCACCTGAAATCTCTCCAACCAACAATTTCTTATCACCTGCGAGGCACACAAAACTAATTCATTGGCGAAATGTTTTCAGATAAACACTGTCAGTTTAGGGACAGCTTTTTGTGTTCAAAATGAAATATTTTCCTCCATAAGCCCAGTGATTGGAGGTTTCTTGGAAGACACCAAAGACCCCCACCTCGGCACAGTAAGTGTGGATGGGTCTTCTTATCGGGGACTCCGTATCTCTTAAAGGTGTTCGAAATGACCCTTTGGCAGCCAAAGGGAAAATATTCCACGATCATCGGCCTTTTGGGTGTTTGAAATTTATATATATATAAAATTAAAATGGCCCCTTGATTAACATGCATTAGTTATGTAAACCAGTGGCGATGTGTGTTTATATATCACTTAGGGCTATCTGTAAATGCTTTTTGGGTTTTTTTTACGTACCTGAACAGGTGGAATATCAGTTTGATAAAGTTAACTTCATTTTAAATATCACTTAGTTTATTAATTTGTGACTTATCAGTTTTATTTTGAGGTGTATTTAATCCAGTGTTGCACCTCAGTTTTTATGGCGCTATATAACAGTTTATGGGTGCATAAACTTAATCAAAAGATTAGTCTTACACACCTTACTTAAACTATAAGTTACAGCAATAAAGATATACTTTTGTGGCTTCTTAAATACAATAAAATAAGTTCAAATAAATATTCTTTTTAGTTCCCAAACTTTTTCTCGGTGCATTCCCCTTAATATACTCATAAGCTAAGAAACTAAAAAACCCAAAATTGTGTTTCAATTTGCATTAAAGTCAGACTCAAGACCCTCTTCCTAACCGATCTCTTGCAGCTCCTGCCGCCAAGTGCCCAGCCGTCGGAGGACGCTTCCGCGAACGTGAATGTGAACGAGGCGCTGGTGATGACAAACGCCCCGGCGATGAGCCCCACGGGAGGTCAGGATTGTCAGGGTAGTCAGCCGCCCGTTGGAGCTGGCGGAGATGTCTCCTCGGGGGCGCTCAGTCCAAATGCTCTTTCGCAGAACTCGAATGCGGCGACTGTGGTTGGTGGATCCTCCGCGGGTGGAGGAGCTGGAGGTGGTGGAGCGGACCTGGCCACTGGTGGCTCCCTGGACGGCAACGGTGTGGGCACGACGCCCACGGCCGGTGGTGCTAGTGGTGGTGGTGGTGGCTCCTGCTGCGAGAATGGTCGGCCTATAATGACCGACCCGGTGTCGGGTCAGACGGTTTGCTCCTGCCAGTACGACTCCGCCCGCCTTGCCCTCTCCAGCTACTCTCGCCTGCCGGCGGCCAGCGTTGGCGTATACGGAACGCCTTACCCGTCGACGGACCAGAATCCTTACCAGAGCATCGGAGTGGACAGCTCCGCCTTCTATTCGCCGCTGGTAAGTGCACTTGAAAGAATTTCAAAGGGGTTAGGATAAGTTAGAACTTTCTAGAACTGAGAAGTTAAAAGAAAACTTTGTAAAAATTAATTTAAATTATAAAATAAGACAAATGGCAATTTCAACTGCCTTCTGCCATTAGTTAATTACTTGCTTTACCCCCTCAAAATGTATAATTTTTTCTAAGTGTTATGGCCAAGAGCCAGAGGGCCAAGAGCCATGGGCCAGAGGGCTAAATGGATTATCTCAACGTATGACTTTAATTGTGTAGTCAGTGGCTTTTGTCCGCAGCTTAGGAGGGAGACAAAAACAACAAAAACAACAACGGACAAACGACAGCAAAGCAACAGAACAACAACAAAGCAACAAAGACAACGACAACGACAACGACGATGGCTTGTCAATGCAGTCGACTAAATCGAATTATCATTATGGCTGACTGAAGCTCAGTCAAACCTCATTTGGCTCCGTATCGGGGGTTTAGTTTCTCTCCCCAGACCCACTTCCCTGACCACCACCATCTCCTTCTCCTTCTTTTTTCTATCTCTATCTATCCATCTACCTAATTTATAAGCCCGTTTACTCCGCCGGTTCCCTACTGCCAACAACCCAACTGCCGACTTCCATTGCGATATTCGATACTTTGCATAAAGAAAGGCAAAATCATTGGAAACAAAACATATTGCCCCATGGCCTCAATTACACTCCACTCTCTTCGTGTATGTGTGGGCTAATCAAGCTCATGTCGCTGTATGTGTCTGTGTATAAGAGAGCACCATCACAGTTGGGGGCCAAAATAATAGCAGTAGGTTAGAATATTATTTACTATTTAACGAAAAAAAGAAGAAATCTATTGAAATAATACAAAATATATTTTAATAATTCCTTCAAATCTTTGAAATAATAGTAGTTTTTTATAAATACATTTTTTTTTATTAAGAATTATACATTATTTTAAATTTTTTTATTAAACAGTTTTTGCACTTTTTTTAAATCATAAATTCTGTAAACACTTAGTACTCTTATTTTTCTGCCCCCAACTGTATTCATACATCCACTAAGTGACCGCTGAAATGTACACGAGCACAGCATGACTGAAAGCAAAACACACGCTGCTGCTTTTGCTTTTGCTATTGCTGTTGGCCTGAATGAAAGGCAAGCACAAACACAAACAAACACATAAAATTGGCAACAATATGTATAACAACAATGTGGACAGTATTTAGCCTTGGCAAATAACTAACTGCCCGAGATGGATAGGCCAAACAGCTTAGCCCGGCCTGGAAGTGCCCAAATAATCGAGCAAGTGTGTTTTATAAGGACATCATGTTGCCGCTTCGTCGTTTGGTAGATAAATATTTTCATCGACGTGGTTTGTGTACATAATAATATTTGTTCGAGATTTTGTTGGAAATTTGTTTTGCCAATTTTTTTAGTTAACCTCTTAATTTGTTAAGATATTTGTAGGACTTCAAGTGATTGGGCCCTTATATTCAATTATTGATCAATCTATATTCCACTTAAACAGTTCTTGTTAAAGTTTTTAAATATTTTTTCATAATTTTTGGTTGTTGGTTTCAAATTTTATGAAACTTTTGGCATTGCTTATGTTAGTTATGACATTAACCAAATTGGGTATTTTTTTTAGTATTTTATATCCGCGACAAATTAAAGCTAGCTGTAAACTTTTAATAACACAGGCAGACTTCATAAACAATATATGTAGTCATAATAGTCAAATTAAAACCAACATCTAACTTAATTTTTTCTTAAAATACATCTTTCGCCTTCATTCTATCCCATCTCATGCCAACTTCTCATCAAATTAAAAGAAAAACCTTTCATAAATAGTTCTTAAATTAACAAAATCTCCAAACACTTGTCCCGACTTTGTCAACAGTATTTCCCCAATGTTTACGATGGCTGTAATAAGCACATTAGTTTGAACGATCTAATTAATATGAACGAACAGAGGAGTCTAATCAACTTGGGCGGCTCTCGTCGAGTACTTCAAAGACAAACCTCCTCAACGGGTGATGTAAGCGAGGGATACCCCCGGCGGAAAGGAGAGGAAAAGCAAATGGGGCGGAGACTGGCAGCGGCAGCCACCAAAGTGTCATGTTAAATTGTTATTTACAACAACAGGAAATTCATTCGTTCTTTATTTTTGTTGTTTTTTCTTTTCTGGTGGGCACCTGAGTATCTCTGTTTTTTATCGGTCGTCAGAAAGCGCATACTTTTAATTAAGAAAATATCTCAGAAGTCTTTTGATAAGATGTCGTCGCTCAATTTTCGATAGCGAGGTGTTAATATTCGAGTATTTTTGGGTGGGAATCTAGTATCTAGCGAAAATCTTACTTGTGACATTTTCCAAATCGATTTCGATTGGTAAATATATATATATATTTTTGGGATAGGGCGATGGCTATCCAATACCTGTTCGTTATACGACATTTTGATAAATATATTTGTCACTCGGCAGCGGGAGCGGCGGCCCAAAGGGTGGGGTGAAAAATTAATAAACAACGGCATACATGATGTTAAGCAATTAAAAATGTTAATACCGTTTCATAAATCAAGAGACCACAAAAGCCCGGCTCGACAGGGCCAACCAGATTGGGCGCTCGACCAGCGGCGATCTGGCCAATAGTTGTCGCTCATAAATCCGGCTGTCATTTTCCGAGGGCATAAATCGCAGCAGCATGCCACAAACACACAAAAATCGAGCCAAATTAAAATTCAAAGTGTCTGCCTTTTGCGGTGCTGCTGCTTTCATATTGTTACCATATAGTATTAACAATAATCGGCGCTTCGCCTTAGATAATATAACGATCGTATACTTGCTGCCTTAAAATATGTTTCTTTCTGTATCGATCGTTGTATCTGTCTTTGGTAAACAATAAAAAATATGGCCAACAAGTTGGCATTTGCTTGTTCGGCTGCGAAATATGTTGCCAAATTATAGATTCCATGTTTAACAAAATTGTCAACTTCGGAAACTGTGGGAAAATGCTTTGTTCACAGCTCCCTCCTCCATAATAACTCAATAACTCAATAACAATGCTGAATTCTTAATCGTTTCAGAGCAATCCGTATGGACTCAAGGACACGGGAGCGGGTCCGGAGATGGGTGCTTGGACTTCGGCTGGCTTACAGCCCACCACTGGCTATTATTCCTACGATCCCATGTCGGCCTATGGGTAAGCATTAACATTTGCATTTCATTTAATTAGTTTTTGTGCTAAAAACAGCAAATAAAGATTTAAATAGCATTGCGTGGCTCGGCACCACAAATTAAGGCAGCATTCTGCCTAAAAAAAAACGTACAATAATTAATTGCGTCTAATAGAATATAAATAGAAAGCCTTTTAGCCCAATTTAAATACATGGCTGCGCGAATCAAATGCAATCGTGCGGCCATAATTAATTACAAAATATTTGCGAGTACTTGAAATTGATTTGAATTTAATTGCTTGCGGCGGCTGCGTTGCCCTGCTCCTCGATTTTCATACAATTTCCCTCTGATTTTCCCTCTGATAGTCTACCATCCGCAGAAGGGGCAATATTCTCTAGGGAAGGGCGATAATAAAATTTGAATTGTTCGAAGCTGTATGAGAGCGCGAAATTATTTATTTATGATTGCTGCAAAAATAATAGCAGTTAATTGCACGCCAGTGCGAGCCACGCACACCAGTCCAGGGGGGAAGGGGGCTTCCTATATATAAATAGATATATATAAATACATGTGTGTTAAATCACTGAAAGAAAGTTGGGGAAAAAGTTAAAATGGAACTAGTTTATAATAGTTTTAATGAAGTTTGAAACGTAAGATGTAAAAATTCATATAAGAATATTCTCTGTTTTTGATGGAAACTTAAATTTTTTCATTAAAAAAAAAACAGTTTAAAACATTCTTCATTGTTGAGAGCCTATTATATCTTTTTTAGTATATTTAAAAAATATTTTTAGTATTTTATTTGAAATATTTTACAACTTTTTCATACAACAGAGAGGTCATACCTCTTTTAGTACAAATGAAAATGAAACAACGGTTTATGAAAGTAGAACCGTTAAACTGTTTACACTTTTATAGAAAAATATAAAAAAATATTTTTTTAATTTGTAACTACTCCCTATTTCCCCCCTGTGTAAGTGCGTGATTTTCTGGAATGCGCTGTATAATTAGCACCTATTAAATAAATATTTTGAGCATATAAAAACACATCAGATTTTGTTGTTGTGCATGTGTATGTGTGTATGCACATACATTAAGCCTTAAGTATGTACACACGTGGGTGCATACACAAGTGCGTACGCACATACATATACTAGGAGTAGTCGCAGAGTGATTCGATGGACAGGAGGTTGCAGTCAGTCCTCTCTTCCCCTATATAATTCCGAACTCAAATCGGGGGTAAAGCTGGTGGAGTGGCTGAGTGGCATGCAACGGCTGCGGCTTCCCGTTGGACGGTTTGGCCGATTGCGGACGATGTGGACGTGGACGGCTGGATTGGATCGGTTCGGTTTGCTTTCATTTGGGGCCCGGCTTGCGTGCGGAAGGCCCATGAAATCGAGCTGCAGCTAAGTGAATGAATGAGTGAGTGAGTTGTAAGCGATGCATGTTGCTTGTGGTGGGAGGGGAGGGAGGGAGTGTGTGTTGCAGGGATAGGAGGTAAGAGGTAGGTGATAAGGGGTAAGAGGGTGGAGAGGTGTGAGCCGCAAATGAACGCCATGTTGGCCGCCATATTGAGCGGCAGTACATACGCACGTACTTACCAATGTACCGGTGTTCGTATGTACACGGGGACCTGTATGGTACTGCACTTTGGGAAAATATCTTAAATTATAGTTGATTTATTCAGATTTTATGGATATTATTAGTTTACATTTTTATTTACTTCCTTAAACTTAAGGGAAGTACTAAGACATAAGTCAACATCTTTTGGGTTTTAAGTACTTTTCTGGGGAGACGCAAAATCGACGCGAAAATATAGAATTTCTATAACGTAGATCATACTTATTATGAGAATATTTAACACTATTTGATCCTTAAACTCTAAGAAACCATGCAAAGCCTTCTTCATTCTACGAAATATATTATTCTTTATTAAAAACATATTTCATGTTCAGTTCTTCCTATCAAGAAGTGCCATTTTCCAACATTATTTTAAACAAAGAACGTTTTGGAAAAATGTACATTAATTTTAAAATATATTTCTCTCTGTACCTAGGCCTGTACATACAATATTTACGGGTTGACAAACATTTAAGAGAGGAACGGTTGCGCTTTGTTTTGTTCATCGTCGCAAATTGGCAACGGAGTGGGAAACTCCGAAGTGGGAAGCTCGACGGAAAGGTGGAAAATCTGACTGACTGACAGTCTGACTGTCTCTCGCTGTCTCACTGTCTGGCAGATGGCAATTGTTGAGAAGGAGTGAGCAGCCGGGCAGGAGGGTGGTTTGTGGGTGGCTTGGTTGGAATGACAGCCATCGTAATTACCCAGTGACAGGCATGAAACGTGTCTGCTCACGGGAGAGCCAATGTCATTTCGCTGTACGTTCGAAGCGAGTATTTGTTCGAAATGCGGCCCGAAACCGCCGCCACTGTAAATCGCGACTAGCAGATAATGGCCGCCCGTAATTGGTGGCTCCACGACCAAATTGCATGTGCTACGTATAAAAGCTGAAATGTAAATGGGTGTAAGCCGGTCTAAAACTAATAAGCGGCCCATTCGACCGACCGCTATTTAGCTGGCTGGCTATATATATATATGTGACCATATAGCCGTGTCCGTGTGTTTGTGTGAACAAGAATGTGATTTGTTAACAAGATTATGGCCCGCCATCACCAGCAGTAGCTACTAGCTAATACCAGCAGCCAAAGCCAAATCATTTTCGCTGTTTTTTTTTTTTTTTTTTTTGTTTACGAGTTATGCCAAAAGAACGCAGACACATTGTACACATGCATTCGCTGTGCACTGCAATTATAATGGCTAAAACAAAAATAGGATGCGTGCCAATTACGAACAAATTGATGTTTGTTAGGTTGTAAAACATAACAGCACAAAAAGCCCACAAAGCGTATCACTCGACTTGGTTCCGTCCGATCTCGGGGAGTACCAACTACCGACCTACGCGCTAATCATATATCCCAGGCCATATGCCAGCTCGTAAACAACCGCCTTTTTGGACCATATTGCCGGGTTACGTGCCGAAAATTATGGTCTTTGGCAAACTTGTGGTCACGGCTATTGGACAAATCTTGGGTTTTTATGGGGTTACAGTGGGAGATCTCTGGATGGAGATCTTATACTTCTTATTTTTTTTTAATTTTGAATTTAATTCTTCCTACAATTTTCTATCTTTTACTTTACTAGCTATAAAACAAATTATAATGTCTTACAAGATACTCACTGTACTTAAATTAAGTTCCCTGCTACCTTAATCACAGTTCTCGGGCAGAACCTTTACTATACTTAAAAATCACAAGTCCTCCTCCAAACTCTACCGCTAATCACTATGGACATCCTCCACACTGCACGCAATCAGGGTGGACAAAGAGAAAAAAAACAAGGAAAAAAGGCATAAAAAAGAAGGCAGCAGTAGAGTGGAGAAAGGAGAAAGTAGAAAGGACGTTGAATTTACATTCGACGGGCAGCGGAGCCGAGATTCGTTCTTTATCTTGTTGTAAAATTCACCGCACACAAACTGTTGATTGTGGCTCCATAAAAATCCCATGAAAAAGAGCCAAAAGGAAAATAAAGGAGGAGGAAAAAGGGATGGGGATTGGGATTGGGGAAAACCCGAAAGTGAAAAGCGGATGAGCCGGATGTGCAGCGGAGTTCGCATGGTCTGGGGGCTTAATTTAGCTAGGAAGTTTCTGGGGGAGAAGGGTCAGGACCACACCGCCGTACACCATTATTGCAGAGGATGGATAGCAGGATGGGAGATGAGAGACGATGGGGATACCACAGCCTCTGGTGGGTTACAAAAAAAAAATAAAATGCGATAAGTGCACTGCTGCTGAGAAGAGAACTGGCGGAGTGGAATACAACTGGATCACCCGGTTGCACCCACTTGTCGTCCTCGTTATTGCCGGAGACGCTGTTTTTGTTGCTCCTCTCTGTGGCCGTGCCCTGTTTCACAACTATGTTTTACAATATTTTGACGTTGTATTACACTGGCAGGACGAGGACCCCAAAGCTCCATGGGGATGAACAGAGGGAGGGGCAGGTGGTAGGAAAACATCAATTTGAGTTTTCCGCATTTTTAATGAATTTCCATGTTTTTCCGCTGCTGCTGGTAAAGATTTTTTAGGGCCTTCCAATTAGAAAGAGAGTACGAATGTAAAAAGCAGATAGTAAACTGCTAACTTCCTCCCTTTTAAGCACTTAGTAGTAGAACTTAAACTGTGACTAGTACATACCTAAGTATCTCTTTTTCTAACCACAAACTTTCCTTCTTCTACTTCCAGCTATGGAGCCAGCTACGACCTGGCTGCTCGTCGTAAGAACGCCACGCGGGAATCCACGGCCACTTTGAAGGCCTGGCTAAATGAGCACAAGAAGAATCCGTATCCGACCAAAGGCGAGAAGATCATGCTGGCCATCATCACCAAGATGACCCTCACCCAGGTCTCTACATGGTTTGCCAATGCCCGACGTCGATTGAAGAAGGAGAACAAAATGACCTGGGAGCCGAAGAATCGCACGGATGACGATGATGATGCCATGGTGTCGGATGATGAGAAGGACAAGGAGGACTTGGAGCCGAGCAAGGGAAGCCAGAGTGGCAGCTTGGCCAAAGGTATAGGATCTTAGAGGGTTTTCTTTCAGGATAAAAAAACTTACAGAAGATGTTTCTTTCAACCAGATGAGACCAAAGAGGAGGAGGATGCCATTGACGAGGACCAGAAGTGCTTGGGTCAAGCGAACATACTGCGAGCTGGCTTTGGTTATCCCTCAGCTGGTAGTGGTGGTTATCCTGGAGGAGGTGGCTCCTCTAGCGGTCACCCCGGTGGCTATCACCCGTATCATCATCAACATCCCGCTTACTATCAGGCTGGCCAACAGGGTATGTTGCCCTTTCATGGGGAAGGTTCCAAACTACAGGGTGATCTTGGGGATCCAAAAAACCAATTAGGCCGGGACTGTGGCGTGCCGATTCCAGCTACCAAGCCGAAGATCTGGAGTCTGGCCGACACAGTTGGCTGCAAGACACCGCCGCCGGCTTACATGGGTCATCAATCGATGCCGCTGCAGCAGCAGCAGCAGCAGCAACAGCAGCAGCAGGCGCAGCAGCAGCAGCAATATCCACCGCAGGATGCAGGACGAGATCACCAGCTGTTCAATGGGGCCGCAGCTCCTTACCTGAGGCCGCACACCACGGCCTACGGGGGTTTTCTAGGGGCTACGACCCAGCAGCTGCATACTACGAACAGCAATATCCCCTACAGCAATATGCCCCCGCAGCAGCAGTTGCCGGTGGGCGGTACCATCCATACTACGGGAAGTTCGAACGGACCACTGCAGTTCCACAATCGGCAGCATCCGCAGCAGCAGCAGCAGCAGCAGCAGCTGCTGCAATCTCAGTCCACAGCGAGTCAGCGGGCGATGGGGTTTCTCGAAGCCCAACCAGATACTCCACCCCAAACTCCGCCGAATATGAAGGTGCTGAGCGGAGCTTTGAGTCTCCTGCCTACCGCTTCTCAAGTCCCTATGACCGCTACCTGTCGCAGCAGTAACGCCTTCGGCTTCTCCACCTCCACCTATCCCATGAACTTCTCGGCCAGAATTGGGGAGTACTCCCCGCGCGATGACTACAGCAGCGGGAATAGCAGCAGTAGCAGCTCCTCCTCGCCGCAGCTTCAGAGGAATGAGTTTAAGCCGCTCTTCAAAAAGTTCACCAACTAATCGGACTGCATATATATATATATACTATATGGGGATCGTGCAAGAATCAGACGGATTGTGTAATATTAAATGTAGCCGTTTAGAGCGCGTTAAGTAACTTCAAGTTTCATTCAAGTTATGCATCGTATCTAGAGTAAAGGATCAAATGTTTATCTTCAAACTGCAATGTAAGCTTAGGCTAAATACTAAACTAGCGCAATAAGATTGTAAACTGTGATACGTTTTTCATTGTCTAACAGACTTCAACACACTAAACACTTCGTCTATATGAACACATAATCTAAATAATTTTAAATCGTTTAATAAAATTCTTTATAATCATGAAAATTTCAAGGTGTTATTAATATGTTTCTTTTGTTTGGATCATTAAAGTAAGTATTATTTTGTCTTTGGAATAAACAGAAAGATAATATTTAGAGATGTTATATTATTTAACAATATTACTCACTTCATTTTTGCTCTGCTTGGGGGCGTCTTCACTTCAGCAGATCATCTCGAAAACTCTTCTCGTTACTTGAGTCCTCGTTGCTTCTCTCGTCCTTTTCTACTTCTTTCGCTGAACTTCTCGTTTTCGTCTTAATCTTCTCCGTGTTTTCTACTTCATTCGGCACATGGCCACTCGTTGCTTGCTTATATTGACATCTCGTCGTTCTTGGTATTTCGTTGTCAGGGATTTTGATTGTTTTTGGAAGTGAACTATATTAACCACTGCCATACAGATTTATTGAATATATTTATATATTTTTGTCTCCAGAAAATGAATGTATTTAGTTAATAAAATACATTAGAAAGTGTGAGTAACCGTAGAGCCTGATAGCTAAGGCCACAAAAGTTAAGAAACCTAAAAGGGCTTCCCCTTTTTACCTTTTACTTTAATGACATTTTTGACTATTAACACGACGTTCTCAAATGTTTGTGAAATGGAAAAAAATGTATATATTTTGGTAATTGCAATGCATGTAGTACATACATACCTGCACTTTGTTTCTCATTGATTTTTCAATTATTCGCTTGAAACATTTTTTCACGAATTATGGCTAATTACACTTTTTCCTTACAACAAATTTGCATGATTTTACATAAATTTATGGCTTTGTTCTAGTTTGGCGGAAACTACAAAAGCATTGCAACATATGTTTTATAGATTAACAAAGCCATTTAATTATTAAATAAAATATAAAATTATTTTTTTATTTGCCCATTTTTAGTTTCCAAAAAAGTAAGCCAACGAAGAATATTTGTGAAATGTTCTTAAATCCTTACCCTAACCTTCTTAAATGGGTTAAAAATGAACATTTTTTTAAAAGAGTTACATTAATTTAGATCTTGACTATAACATTTTACGGTACTCAATCAAATTTTAAAGAGATTAAAGTGATAAAAGGCCAAAGCTATGAATAAGCTGATTTGTCAAGGGAAATGTGTCATAATTTTTATATTTTCCATAGATGTTATAACTTTTTTTTGTAAATTTCTCTCAGTGCTTTATACCTTAATCAGATATTTTCGTTGTGTGTAGGTTTTGTGGTTCGAATTGATGCAGAAATTGTCAAATGCCGTGGACATGGCCAACGCTGTCCGCAAGCGAGACAAAACCAAAAACCCGGCATCTTTGCGATTGCGATTGTGTTGGTGGGCTTCTCTACCTGCAACACTGTTGTTGCATGGATGGAAGTTGGCTTTTATGGGGATAACAATTTGTAACGACTATCGCCGTTTGATAAATTAACATTTAGCAGTGGCTCGATTATGCAACAAATTGCCAATTCAATTGAAATTGACAGCCGACGAAGGCAGCCCAGCCGCGATGATGATCATCATCCTGCTGATGATGATGATAATGGTGCCCCCGAATTAGCCGCGTATACGGATTTGTAAGTGCAAGTGATTAATTTGGTTTTCGTTTGACACAGTTTACACATGTAAGTGGACGGACAGGTAGTAGTACTCGGACGCGGACTTTAAATGCCACACAGATATGCCACATGCCGAGCGGCGCTCACATCTCCAGCTAACTAATTTTCTTAAACGTTTTTTCAGTAATTCTATGGTTCCATCAGCGGGACATTAGTTCCGATCTTTAGCATATACTATACCTCTCATTCAGTTCCCAGAGTCTACTTACGGGCCTCCCCTCACTTTATGGTCTGTTTTACAATGCTAAATGACCGCACTGGGCATAAAATTTCCCCCATTACACATGGGGCCAATCAGTAAGCCGGTTAAATTAATCGTATCCAAGAGATATGATACTATGCCATACCATACCATACCAGAGAGAGAGATCCTTCGCTGTGCCGCGCTTGTGAAGCGATCTCGTTTATGGGTCATAAACCATGGGATCGCGCCGGTTGCAACCACTCGACATTCCCGGTATTGTTTCGGAGATCTCAACGGTCAGTCGAACGGTCGGTTGGTTGGTCACCAGCGGCGAGGATATACGACAGTTAACTTATCTTGCATCCACTTAACGTCTTGCGGCCATAAATCAATCCTATGGCCGAATGCTCGATGGCAGCCAGCAGGCGAATTAATCACTTTGAAAATTGTTACCCATTTGGAAACTTGTCGCATTTGCTTTCCTCGGCCCCAAGTCTCTCGATCCCTCGATCCCTCCTCTACCCCGTTTCCAAGTATAGTCTACAGCTTGGACTGTCGTGTGTGGGCAATCCTTCAACACCATGTGAAAATCACGGTAATTTATTATTGACAGTCGCAGTAGTAGGTACGAGTCGTATTTGTGATTAGTTGCCTTCTTTATGCCTAAATCCCAGACGAGTAATCTTGACGCGGGAATTATTGGTTTTTTTTTTATTTTTGGGTAGTCATCTTATCATGGTCAAGTGGGCATCTTTTCTAGTGTCTTGCTAGGATTTCACAAGGCCCCACATCAATTTTCTTTCTTTTTTTTTGTTAAGTTAAGTTGATTTAAGACAAGCCCCTGTCTCATTCTCTTGGGATTAATTGAAAGTTAAAGGCTTTTTACTATCAGTCATTAGGTTTGTATTTGATTTCCTTTTGGTGAAGGCAACATTTGGGAAGTACTTAAAAATGGTAATTTGTGTAACTGAGTTGGCTGAAATGAAATCTATTTTTATGGCTATAATTTGTTGTTTATGATGGGCATTAAAAACTAAAGGCAGCAGCTCTTAACTGGGTTAAAACAAAACGTTTATAACAAAAAGCTTAAAAATTAGTAGCTTTTAGTAAAAAATCTTTAAAAATATTAAATTTAACTGGCTTGCATTTAGTTCATATGAGTCTGACCTTCGACTGGCTGCTTTTAATAATAAACATAAACCCATTAAAATCTGCACTAAACTAAAGCGATTCATGTAAAACTTTTCAGGCCAATAACTATAGAAAACTAACATTACAAACTCTTTTAATCACATTTTTAACATAAAAATATATTTATTATAATATTTTCCAAGCCAAAAGAGGTAATAAAAAATATAAAAACTAACAAAAAACAAATAGCCAGCACTCATGGAATACTTTTGCTTGATAAACCAGCCTAGCGTAGCTGTGAGCAAATATGTTGTCTGAATTTCCAATGCCAACTAGCCCGCCTTTCTGTTGGCTTTAATTCGCAAATATTTAAGCGAAACAAACACACTGTTCGTGCCGCTTAAGCATAAACATTCGAAACCTAAGCCTAAGCCAAAGATTTCTCTTATCTTAAGGCTGCTTAAATACTTGAGATGAGCTCTGGCAGTTAGTTATTGGTAAAGAAAGCCAAGTCTGGGGATATTTTATTAAATTTTCACAAATTTTCATATTAATCGGAAATATTCACACTCAATTATAAAATACCAAAGGACACAAATTTGCCTCAGAATAATGAAGGGAAAATTCCTTGAGATTCCCAACATTCTGGCTGGAATAGACGTCACCCCATCTCTTGAGAGGAATGAGGGGTCCTTTTTCGGCTGGGCTGGCTGGGCTGGCTAGAGTTCCAAGATGCTACAAGAATGCAAAGTGTCATTTAAGTGAAACAAGACGAGAACAAATACACAGCAGTCTTCGATGTTGGCTAGGGGGAAGGGGATGTGGGCTGCCAAGCAAGGACCAACCCCAAGGAGCAGCAGCAGCAGTGGCAGCAGCAGTGGCAGTGGCAGTGGTGCATCCACAACCACGCAGCTTACTTACGCAGCTTCTATAAATTATAGCTGCCGCTTGTCATGTACGGAAATCCTTGTGTCAGTGCAGCCGAGATGCCAGGATCCTGACTCTCCTTCGCCTTCTGAATTTGACAGAGTCTGGCTGGGCGATGCGTTTGTTTTCAACAGGATTAGAAACTCGTTGCAACGCACAAAAGCCTCAGGAACAATTCAAGCAGACACATCTCGGCAACTATAACAATTAATATAGTCTGTCTATTCCGGCTGCTACTGATGCTGCTCTTGCTACTGCTGCCTCTGCCAAAGGAACAGCGCACACGAGGGCGTATACTTGATGGCGTATGCTAATTTCCCTAATGCCTTCCTCGAGAATCCTTGCGATTGTGCGTGTGCACGAAAGTGTGTGTGTGTGTGTGAGTTATAGACTTAACTCAATGGGCCACCCTTGCTTTATGGCCACAGATCTTGGGGCGGAGTATTGCTTAAAGGAAGTTAACTTGAGGAAATCCCAATCAAATCATTTAATTAAGTAAATTTCATAAGCTGGCATTAAGATTACCGATAGAAGATATTAATCAGTGTTATAATTGTAAGCTAAATATGGATTTGATGGGTTGAGATTGGGGGTTTAGTTGCTCTAGAACAGCTTGAGTTTGAATGACAATTTTCAAAGAACTTTTACTCTTCGTAGACACGCAAGTTTAGAAGGATAAAAATCTAACTCTAAGCTAGAAACGATCGAAAAGTTAAAAGTTTCTTAAAAAGACTTCTCCTACCTTGACTGGTTGCTTTTCTCGTCGACAATGTATACGATTTGTCAATGGATTTGGTGAATAATTGATTACAGCCAACCAAAAGACATTTCATCATCATCTATTACGATCCGCACGCCTCGGCTTAGAGTCATATTTAATGGACATGTATGGTGGGCAATCAATCATGACTCTCTGGTCTCTGCTCTCTACCAGAAATCTTCAAGAAACCAAGAAATCTTAAACTACAAGAGAAGAAATCCCAAAAATAAGCGCCCACCATTGAGTATGTGGGACCCAGGCCATTGGACAGACACCTTTGTCAAGGCAGCTGATTATTCTTGACATCGACGAAGCGGCGACGGTGGTGGTAGTGGTGGTACACTCGAGTCTATACAAATGTATATTTAGACAACTTCCATTGATAAGACAAGCTAAAATAATTATGACCATTAGGGCACATTAGGCCCTGGTGTTGCGGGATGCCTACACCTCCTAGCGATCGCCGGCACCTTGTGGGATAAACACTTGAGATTCGGAGATTACTATTTGCTGAGAGATGGTTGATGGTTTTCCCATATTAAATTGGATTTTTTGAAGGTTTTATAAAGTGAAAATAAGTTGCATAATAATTAATATTTTTGGTATTTAATTGTTTTTTGTATTTTAGTATTTAAAAATCTTCCTAAAAATGGTTTTTCCTATTCTTAGAATAATTTTTCAATGACTTCTTATGA